TGTTACAGGATTTTTTTAGATGCTGGAGCTTTGGCACCAGTTGCTGTTGTAGAGAGGATGGTATGTTAGGTCACAGATTTGACCCAGAATTTACCTGTTTCTTTTGTGTTAATATTGGAGATAGCCAAGATCTGAAATGTGGGCTCTTTTCCACATTTCCTCTTCATGCGTCACTGATGACCTGTTCCACTCTTGTTTCCATTGTTGTCCATTCACTAATAATCTCGCAGAAGGCTTTATGAGGACCTCAGCCATTTTTCATAGTGATTTCCATGACTGCTGAACTTTGTCTATATATGAAGTATTAATGCATCTCCTTCCCTTCATCTCTTCTGGCATCTGCTTGTTCCTCTAATGACATTCATGGTCATTCTACCTGTTCCAGCCACCACTGTTTCTCCTTTCAGGAGCTCAGAATACTCTCATTCAGCCCATTCTTCCAGACTTGAGTGTGAGCACGTTCTTTTCCCAATAGCTTCCCTATAGGATTGTGTTTACATACAGCCACTTTCTGTAGTAAAAATATTTGGTAATGGTACATTTACCATTTCTGAAAGAAAATGTTTGTCTGACCTTGCCTCGACTGAAATGCCACTGGGAAGCAGACTGGTCACTCCAGCCTGGAATCAGGAAAGTCATTGTTAGAAGAAAAAGAAAAAAAAAAAAAAAAAAAAAAAAAAAAAAAAAGCAGTGGGGGTAACTGTCATCCAACCTAAACCACAGAAAACTCTTTGTCAGTTTTCATTTGAGACAAATATAGTTAAAGTTTCTTTTAGGTTAAAAGGGAGAAAATAATAACTCACTATATTAACTTGTAGGGCACTAAATACTTGTAACAATAACATTCCAAAGTAGTGAGATTGCCAAAGATGTGAACCAATGCTAATCTTCAGACTTAACCTAAAGCGTAGTACTGAAATGCTGCCTCTTTGTCATCCCTCAGGGTTAGTGGCGGGGGGGAGGTTTGTATTGATGGGAATTTTTTGTTTGTTTGTTTGGCTGGGGTTTGGGGATACAGGGATGCTCTGCTGGAACTGAAGGAGCAACCGTCTGATAACATTTCCAGATTTTCTTTCTGGTTTCTGACCTAGAACGATGGCTACTTTAATGAGATATTAGTTTTCTTCAGTCTTAAGGATGAAGCTTAATTCTGGGTTTTCTTTTATTTTACCTCTACTGATCTGTTTTAAGCTGTGTTCTGGTTCAGCCCTAGCTAAATTATGGCAAGTTTTAAGATTCAAAATCAAGCAAAACAAAGCTCTTAATACAATGTATTTTCCTTTTTCTAACTGCTTGCCTTGAAATGTCTTTGCCTGAATGTCTGATTATTAAAGGATATTACAAGGGAGATGTAAAATCAATGCTAATACCGGTTAACTTCTGTGAAGTTTTTGCCTTAAATCAGAACTATTAACAATGCTAAATGGAAAGTCTTTCTAGCTGTGTGTGGGATGGGGAGAATCACGCTGGATGTGGTGAGCTGAAGGAACCAACGCACAGTAAGTGGAGAGAGAAGAGGAGGCTGAGCTGGGAGGAAGACACTGTATTTCTGGAATGGATGGCCACATTGCCTGCTGAAACATTGCCTCAAAGCCCAGGGAAGCTTGTGTGAGATTGTCATTGTCATCACACAGCCAGCTGCTTAGCATGTCCCATTGTTATGAGCATCTGCGGTGGGCTTGTGGTTTTATTTTGTGTCGCTTGATGTTACCATTCTGTTACGGTTGAATATTCTTCACGATTAACATCTGCTGAAGTTTTCCAAGTGTGTTTGTAGAAACACACTGATTATGGAGAAGCAATCTGAGCTGCTGCAGTTCCTGGCATAAGGTCTAGTGGAGAGGAGATGTAAGAAGATGAGAGAAGGCTTTGGGGTCTTTTCTTTTCCCATGGTGGTTAAATACCAAGGCTTTCAACAACTTCAGTTCCAGCTGGGTCACAGGGATTCTGAACTATGTACTTCAGCAGAGCTTATGGATTTTAAACCTGTCACATTGTACTTTTATTATAGATATGGTCCTGCACTTGCAAGCTGTTTTCTTGATCTTTTGCCAGCAAGGCTTTTGTAGCAGTTCTTGGAAGATATACTGTAGCAGTTCTCTTTTATAATATCTATCATTAACACCTCTTTGGCATCTGTAAGAGTTTCTTCTTTGCTGGAGATTGGAGCAGATGATTAAGCAGCCTTTCGCTGTCCACAGGCAATTTCTCAGATTTCCACCTTGTTTCAAATCTACCTTTCTAGCAAAGGTCCTGGAAAAAGGTTGTGGCAGGGCAACTGCAGCCCTTACCTTCATGGTAATAATAAACTGTTTGAAAAATTTCAATCAGGCCAAAGCAGTGAGACAGCTTTAATGAGGATTTGTAGTGACCTTCTGTTTTATAGTAGGTGGATTCTGGCACATTGTCAATTTTAATTCTTACTGATCTTCCTGTGGCTTTTGATACCAGAGATCATAGGTTTCTCTTAAAAATACCTGTAGAAGATCCCGAGCCCCATGGGCACTGTTCTGACATTGCTTCATTACTATTTGCCTCAGTGGTGCCAGTTTGTCGCTGTAAATATCTCCTCTTCTGATACTGCCCCGGTGAACTGTCAAGTTCCCCAGGGCTATGAATTGGGCGGGTCCCTGGGGTTCCTCTATGTATATGTGAGCTGCAGCTTGCCTTTTCAAAACTTATACACGTTATAACGACATGCAGAAAATGCTTGGACATATTTATTTCTCACATGTATTTCTGTGTATGCCTGCCAAAGTTTAGACTAAAATGTTGCAAAAGTAAATGCAAACAGAATGGGGCTATGACTGTTATCTCCTTGGGATTGAATCACATTGTTTTAGTCTTGATTTGGTATCATAAATCACAGAAGTAGTCTAGGCATGGGGGTGAATTTTTTTCTGTTACTAGTTAGTCATGTAATGCTGGAGAAGTGTTTCTGGATGCGAAGAGGCAGCAGAGACTGGCTGCTGTTGCTGTTTGAGGTAGTAATGACAGTAAGACTTGCTGATGGAAGAGATCTGCTAAATCATCAGTTTTTCCTGTCTAGCAGAACTTTACTTATGGGCCATCTGTTAGAGGCTTTTGCCTAATCCTAAAAAAAAAAAAAAAAAAAAAAAAAACCTTTATTTCATGTATAGAAGGAACTCTTTTAGAATTAATCTGATATTCTTTTTTCCTTTACCCCTATTTATTCTTCCAGTGATTTGAGGCAGAGTTAATCTCGTATTGAAGGTATCAATAGTTAGATAAACAGCTACCACTGGGCTAGATATCTCAATTGTGGATTTATGTCTGTGGAAAGACAGAATAAATCTGTGCTGTGATTAATTTCATCCATAGGAAGGCTTGTACAGTGTAGATATTTCAATCCTTGGCCTCAGCTAAGAAACTGAACCTTCATAGTTTGGAGGGTGGGTGTATATAGAAGACTGTGGTCTGAAGAGATGTAGGCTGGGGAAACAAAAGCACAAAAAGGCAAAATTTCAAGGGACCCACAACTAGTTTGTGCACTGGTTGCATGTCACAGACTTTTTGGCACTACTACTTTTGGTAATCTTGCCCACCCAGGGTGTGCAGCACATCTGCCGGCGGCTGTGCTGTGGACTGGAAGTGGTTGGGCTCGTGTCTGAGGGACTTATTGTTTGATGTGAGGGAAGAGACATGGGGACAACTAGTTCCCTGAGGGGCTGCTGTGTTGCAATGCAGAAGTCAGGACAAGTGTCCAAAACATGGAAGGTGCTCCTGTTGCTGCTGGCTGCCGTGGCCTCATTTCGCCACTGCCACATGTGTCTGAGCTCCTGGTTCATCATGGTATCCATTCAATTAAACTGTCACTGTCCTTCTTAGAAGAAGAGCTAGTTGATAATTTATCTTGTGATTTAGTGTATATATTCTCAAATTGTACTTGCCTATTTGGGTCATATTTCACTTTGAAATGATTTCTAACATCTCTTCACAACCTCTGTGGATTTAGCTGTGGCAGCTAAATCTGACAGGGATTATGAATTGGAGCCCTCCACCACCACAGTTCACAGTCCAGAGTATTAAAGTGAACTGAAATCAATAGTGGTTTACATTATAATGTGCCTGGCTCTCAACTGGAAACTGAAGAATGGACACATCACCTGGTTTTGCCTTTTCAGCTTTCAGCAGAAGGTGAGGTGGCCAACACCTTAGTACTTGAAAGCACTTGAACTTTGCTTAATAGGACTTGGAAGAGCTCACAAGGAAATGTTCTTCTTTGATAGTTTGCTTTCTGTGTTGATTGTTCACTTCTTTCCTCTGTGCTTTGGATTATATTTGCTATGTATTAAGTTTGCATGTGTTTCTAATTTACCTAGTTTCTTCAGATTTTGTAATCTCATTCATTTTTGCCATTTATCTCAAATCGCTACCAGCTGTAAATATCACAAGTATATTTTTTCACACTGTTTTCCTAATTACAAATGAAAATGCTAGCTAAAACCAAAATAACAACCTTCCTATTTCATATGAGGCAACTTCTGTATTTAATACCCTGCTTCAAGTCAGTTGTACGGTGCTAGATCTATTATCTGTATATGAAGACACTGTTCTGTCTCTACCAGTGGTCATCAGTAGAAAGGACAAGGCAGCAACTTGTTTAAGTACACATCTAAACATTGTGTAATGTTTTCAAGTTATTTTTACTGTTTCTATTTTTATCTAGCTGGCTTTTAATTCCTTATTGTCTAATTAAATGTAAAAGAGGTACTAGTATTAGGTGCTTCACTTAAAGAAAAATTACATTCACCTAATAGAACATTATCAGATGAACAGAATGGATTAGTAATTTAATTAGATTTTAAGTAGTCTGTAAACCAATGGTATTCAGAAGAAGCTGTTCTGCTTCTTCTCTGAGTTCTTTTAAAGCTTGAGAGTCCATAAATGTTCATACGCAATGACACTTTTGTAACAGAAATTATTAGGAGCACCTCTTTCTGGTTCTACCAAACAATGCTGTGTTTCCTTTTTTCTAGATTCTCAGTCTCTTCCCAGCTGGCTACAAGTTTTCAAAAATCCCTGTCAGTGCTGTGGTAAGCGTGTCAGTGAAATCCCCCCAAGTCCTGCGATGTGGCCATCTGAACCAACAGGTATGCTTCTGCTCTGTTTTCAAGGGCTGCCTTACCTGCTCTTTTCTGTAGTCATTTTTGATGATTCCAGGACACTGTGACCATCAGATAGCATTGTTGAGCAGTAATGTTAAGGTCCTGTTTTATTTCCATGAAGCAGAAAGACAGCAGTAAACCTTATCACCTGAACTAAATATTCACAGCATAGCCCCTCTCCCCCTGGGCCTGCACTGGCTTTGTGTTAAACAGCATATTGATTACAAGATTACAGCGTTTTGTGTATAAAAAGTGTATGGTTATGGGCCTTTAGATTTCAATTGCCTATTTATCTCTGTGGAAAATTGTATATATTCACAGAGAACTGCTTGGGGTGGTTCAAAACAGTGGGGGGGAAAATGAGTTGGGACAAAGAAGATACATGCTCTTCTGGGGACTCTGTTCTTCTGCAGTTCCCTGTACCTTAGTGCGTGAACATCAGTGGCAGCAGAAAAGGTGTCAAGGCTCTGCCTGTGTTATCACTGATGCACGCTGTGGTGTCTCCTCATTCCTTCCTCGCCCCACCTAGCCACTAAGGGTGATGTGTAAGACACGGAGGATTTCTTCATCCGAGGGGCTGTATGTGCAGTTGTGAAGCATTTCTACTGTCCTAGATAGGGAAAGTGCCATTATCTTTCCAGTGGCTACACCCACTTTCATAGAAGGAATCAAGTGCTGGGTTACAGTTACCTCTACCATAGTGTGTTTTGTGAATGACTGGGTAAAGCAATTGCCTGCACAACTTGGGAATGCCCAGGATGTGGAGTGTCTTGAGGGTGGATCTGCACTGGTACAAGTAATGTATGTATGCATAATTTGCAATAGACCATGGTCCATTTCATCTTATAGTTGTAATCTAGTCTGTTTGGCTGCTCAGTTTATAGATGAGTTAAGTAGGGCTGCTTCCCGGATGGTATAATATTTCACACTGTGGTGAAATATTTAAAATCCCATGGCTGAAAAGTGCCTGCATCACTTTCTTTAAAGTGTTCTGAGGTCTGTCTGCCTGCAGCAGTGTATCTACTTTAATTTTTAAAATAATTATTTAATTCCATATTATGCGAGCATATTTGGTCATTTAGGGCAAGTAATAATAATGTAATTTCTCACTCTATTTCTCAGGTTTTAACTCTTTGCTTAATTTTCATGCTATTCCTCCAAATTTTCATTAAAACTTTGAAAGGCTAACCTAATATTAAGAACTGGATGCTAGTATAAGTGTTAGAAATAGTGATGAAAGCTTGAATCTGTACAGCAAAACTGTCTTGTTAATGCAAAGTGGAGATTGGCAGATATTGAGAATTTCCTGACGATTTGGATGCATTTAAAGTATTCTCTTGATACTTGTACACCATCCATGTTAAGAATATTTATTTGGTCATACAAAGGTCAACTACAGTTCAGTGGCCATGAGGAGTGAAGAATAGGCCTGTATTTGCTAGAAGAAATATATTTAGAGACTTTTGCACCAGGAGACACTGATCCATTATGATCCCAGTAGGATAGGCACTTAGATGCTGTAAAGTGTCATTTAAATGGTACTTATTAAAGCTAACACTAAAGAGAGGAAGAGAATGGTAAAATCTAACATCCTTTTAGGTGCTGGGAACCTCGAGCTCTGCAGCATCAAAACGGGCCTCTGGTCACATACAGCACAGCGTGCGGGCGCCTCTGTGGAAAGTGTTACCCCATTTTGGTCATTTGGCTATTACAGCACTTTCTAACAAGAAATCAACTCTATCCATCATTCCTACTGTTTTCAAACAGAAAGGATGTTCACATGAGAAATTGTTGCTGCACAGATCAAGGCAAGGCCAGTCAGGTGACATAATTGCCAGTACCTAGTGGGAGCTGCCCACAGGCTCCTCTGTTACAATTAGCACTGTTTAGCCTAAGCTTATCCTGCAGCCAAGGGGTATTGCAGCACATCCCAGGCCTGAGGACCAGGCTGTACAGGCAGCACGGCACAAGCCCAGGGCTGCTCAAGTTAACGGTTAGGTGGCTCACTAACTCCTCGGTGTACGGCAGTGTTCTGGTTAGGATCACTGCAGAGACCGTGTCCCTTTGGTTCACAGCTCAAAACTATAGTATTGAAATGGGAAAGAGAAATCACTGATCAGACGGTATCCAGTATTGCTCACCTTTTGGAAGCTCCAGTGTTAATCTAGCACATATTCTTGCTCTATCCTTTTGAATGAAAGTTGGGACCCCAACAATGTGTGTATCTGGTCTGCAAAATTGATTTCTAGTATTTTGAAATCAACACCAGCATTATTAAAAAACAATTACAGTTCTTGGATGCAGCTCTAGAGTTTTACATGCTTTAAGTCAGCAATACCCCTTTAAGGAAAGGCAAGATAGTCACCAGCTATTGACATACTAGAAAGAAAAGCTTCATTAATGTATTTTATGAGTGGGAAGAATTCAAATATATCCCAATATGATCAGTCTTGATGTTACTTCTTTGCCACAGCTTGAAAAGGGGAGAATGGAGAATTAATTGAGTCTGAACTAAGTCTTTGGATAAAGTCACAAAAAGAATTGTGCACTTTAAGTCTTGATACTGACCTTACTTAGGAACTCCACCTGCTCAGTCTGTGCTGCCTCTTCACTGCATAACCTGAACCCCTTCATTATGCAAAATATTTGGAATTTATAACACTACATTTTTCTAGACATCATCTGCTGATTTACAGATCAGCTACTGAGCGGCATTAGTAGCAGAATATTTGTAAATATTTCAGATTACCCATTCCAACCAGACTAAATATGAAATATGTAATTTATACAAGAACATAACAGGAGTCGGCTGCGAAGTTGTGAAAGTAGGGAAACTTGAATTTCCTTAACAGATACTGTACTAAAATTTTGATCATGTTTGATACCCCTATTACCCAAAAAGGCTGGTTTTTAAAAAATATAAATTTTAGTTGAAGATGTAAAATTGATTTTTTTTTTTTTTTTTTTTTTTTGCATGCACAATCCATATCATCAGGTAACATGCAAAAATCAAGGCAGAGGCAAAGGAGATATTAGAAAATTTGAACATGGGAACCATTGGAGAAGTGTGAGTCTTGGTTAAACTTTTGTATAACCTGCACTGAGTGCTTGTTATGAGATATTGTGGGGAAGCATTTTGTCACTTAAAATAATCTGCAGGTTATGTGTGTGAAAATAGAAGAATTGTGACTACTGCACTGAGTATCCTTCAGCCATAAACCTCAAGTGATTGTGCATATACACACACACTTGTGTGTGCCATATGCAGCTGTTTGGTTTGTATTCTCAGATGGGTTTTGTAGCCATGCTTGTTGCCAGTTTTTACTTTGCCTGTGTTGCTGTTCATCATGGTCTGTTGTCCGGTGTAACATCAAATGTAGTGTGCTCTCTAGTCTGTAAATGACAATGAGTAATTAGTGTTTTAAGGATCAAGTCTTGTGATAAGAACTACAGTGCCTTAAACTGTAGCAGGTAAAACAAATAGGGTGATCCATAAGGGAAAGAGCTGTATCCTTCCGATTACACTGAATTACCTGAATTTCACATCTTAAAAATGTAGGGTTTCTTTTAAAAACAGTATATTTAACCCAGATCAAATCCTTTTTCTTCTTCAAGGTGTTTAAGGTTATTTTGGAAGGACTCCACAAAGTAATTATTACCCAGTTCTATAACTGTTACAGAATGCAGGGAACTCAAGAGAAACTAATAATTAAAATCTTGAATGAGTGTGGTTTTGGTGCTAGGTTATTTTTCTTCATCCCTCCTAGAAAATTCAGTTGTTCAATGCCTGCTAATTAGAGTAGGGATGGTCTATATTAGATTACCTTTTCTCCTCCCTCTTTCTGGTATATTTGGAGAGGTATGTTTCAAATTATTTACAGTCTTGAACTGGTGAGATATTCCCAAATGTTTCACTGATTTTCTTTTTTTTTTTTTTTCTCTTGTTGCCTGAGATTTAATATAATTAGTTCTCTTCTTTTCATTAGGTCACTCAGGCTGATGTATATCCTGAATGAAATACTCTTATATTTAACTAGTAGTTATAACGTACTTAACCCAATAGGATATGATATTTATCTTGCTGGTTTAAATCTCTGTCTCCTGCATTTCAAAACTATGGGGTTAAATTTATATTTACTGCTTTAAGCAGTATTTTAACATAATCTTAAACTGTTCAGGAGTTTTTTTGCCATCAGGACCATATTGTTTTAAACTTACTCTGAACATACACGCAAACCATGCACAGTGCTGTTGAATCTGGTCCATTTTTATGAGATGTATGAAGCTTTGATTCCTGATTTTTTTGTTTGTTTGTTGTGAAGATTCCCTCTCTTCTCTCCTCTCCTCCTTTGTCATTCTGGTCCCTTTCACTCCTTCTGGGGAGTAGGGAATAATCCTACTATTAAGACGAGGATACACAACCTCTATTTTTTTCCTGCCATGTCCAAAGCAGTCTCCCATCCAGTTGCTAAATGTTTTGTCCTGTTGGCTCTTTTGTAGACCATGTTATTAGGAAGTAGAATATTGATTATTTGGGATGAGATTTCCAAAGCTTGCCTAGAGGGTTGGGGTGTCCAATTAGAAATTAATGACCCAGAGGCAGCTTTGAAAATCCCACCTGTAGAGTTGAAGCTTTTAAATGAGTCTGAAGTTAAGAGTGCAGCCATAATGAGTGCACAAATGGTGTGATATTTTCCCGTGATTGGAAGAAGTGTGAAATAGCAGCTCTCTGTCTTAATGTCAAATAATTAAGGAAGTTACCGGAAGTAGACTTTAGATCAGTAAACTGATTCTCTGTTCTTTGGAACAGGCTAACAGGCAGTTATCTAAAAATACCAAGGCATAGTACAGCCCCAGTAATGACAAGTTTTGTCTAGGAAGTCTGTTGTATCTGTTTTGTGAAGACAGTTAATCAGAAACTTTGAAATAAGCCTAGAGCAAGAACAAAAGCAGGAAACATAGATGTAGATTTTTTTTTTTTTTCC